TTTAAATTTATTTTAATGCTTATTTTAAAATTTTTATTTATTATATTATTTAGATGAAATCATAAAATTACCGAGATCACATTGTCGAGTGCAACAAAATTGATATACGAATGAGGATCGATATCGTCGGTCAACATGGGTAAATATTATTTTAGTAAATTGCTTAAATTTTTATTTATTTATAATTTATACTAAGTTTTATAATTTAATTAATGTTTACAATTTTGTTGGATTCCGTATTTTGACGATGAGATAGATTGGTTACTTCCACCGAGATTTTTTTTGAAGGCTCGGATTTGTAGTGTGTCGTAACGCCTTTGTTTCATTTTGCGATTGTTGAGATGAACGCCGCATATAGAGCGTTGAGCCAATTTGCGTCCCATCAACCAATTCGTACGTAAATATTTGAAATGGATGCGCTCCATAGAATTGATACACATGAGAAGCATAAAGAGAATTGGTCGAGGAAGCATGTTGTATACATTCAACAATAGAATGAGCGACATCTATTTTTCCCTATTCGTTTCGAGATTACAACTGTTGATCTTAATGCGACATTTTTCCCTATCTCCGAAATTATGAAGCAAATAGGAACTATATTTAACAACACCACAATGAGAAGAAATGAAGGCTAAATACGCAAAGGGCAAGAAATCATCATCATTGGCATCTTTTTCTTCTGCTTCTGCTAATGCCGAATATTTTGCATATTAGACCAGTTATGGTTTTTGTACTCCATATAATGCTTTATTAGAGAGTCAGCCGAATTGGGTTAGAGGTTCATGAGATGCAATGCGAGGTGTTCAACCATATTCAACAGAATAAGCAAGCGAATTAGATCATATTATATATCGTCAACAAGGTATTGATTTCATTAGCCAATTCGAGTCAATGACATCAATGATGACGTCAAATACCTGAAATACTCCATCACCGTATTTCGAAGGTGGATCTCAAAGTGGAGTGATGTTTAGTACACCTCCTGTTGAAGAAGAAACAAATGAAGATTAAGACGATTAAGACAGATAACCATGACAAAATCGATGAGCTCCACGCCATTATCATTCGACAACTCCTTGACATCGTCAAGAATTACGAAAATATAAGTAATTATATTAGTTTAAAAAACTTTTATTATTATTTTGTAATAAATTATTTTTTAAAATGATTTTTTTAAAAATCGGCGAAACTCGTCATGTCAATTTGATGAGTTCCAACGATTATATTTTTTAAAATTTCAAAAGCTATCCACGGGCCAACGACTAGTTGATTTTAAATTTCAAAGGAACTCATCACCTCGGCGTGACGAGTTCCACAAATTATTTTGATTTATTATAATCTAAAAAAATTAGAGGACTCATTAAGTCAACGTGACAAGTTCGAGAAAATATATTATAATGTTGGACCCCCACGAGGCTTACTGACCTGGACGAGTTTACCCTCCACTGCAACATTCGTCGTAGATTGCCAATTAAATATTCAGCCTGGCCTAATGGGCCAATTAAATATACGGCCTGGCCTAATGAGCCAATTTCGCCTAGGTGATATAATTGTCTTTGGGTTGGGTAGTTTATATTTCATTTTTTGGACTGGATTTATATTCTGAATTTGTGTTGGGTTATATGTAATTACACTTAAAAAATAAAATTAGTAATTGGCTTTAGATCCCAAAAAAAAAATCCATTCGATTTGATTAATTCATATAAATCGAAAGAAATAAATGAAATGAAAATTTTGAGTTTATTTGGTTTAATCAGTTCAACCGATTTTTTTCATACCCTTACGCGAATTAATTACTTGGATATGAAAATATTCACATTTGTTAAATACTCAAATTTATTAAATTATTTTAAATAATAAAAAAATAAATTTGATATGAAAATGTAAATAAGAAAGGTCTAATTACTTGTTTTATTTAGACTTGTTTTAATTTACTTAAGAATTACTTATTATAAGATGATTTAAAAATAATATATATTAAATATAAATAATAATACATATTTTAATCTCAATAAATAATAACTATTGAATGCAATAATGAGACATATTTTAATTTGATAGAAGAGAAGTATTTTTTTAAACTTTGAAATTAATAAAAAAGATAATTAAAATAATTAAAAAAATATATTCATTTTTTTAACTATTACAATGCACACTCTGTAAATGTAGGCATATAGTTGCTCAAACATAAGATCCCTAAAAAGAAGAACACTCTTTTTGTCTATTAACGTCACTTTGATAAGTTAAAATAAACAAATATTTTTTTGACAAATTCTATATCTAATCTCATTTTTACGGAGAAGAGAAAAGAAAACTTTAAAGAAATAAATGAGAGTACTCCCGGTAGGTATAAAACTCGAGCCTAAAGAAATATGAAATAACTCATATATATGAACATCTTGATCAAGATAACCAACAGCTTAAAGCAAAGCAAGGACAAACATAAAAAAAAAAAAGATAAAGCACTAGAGACAATTCAATAATATTAAAATAAAATTTTTTGTTAATAAAATTTTAAATATTATAAAATAATTATTTATTTTTTCTTTTGTTTTTTTATAATGAAAGTGTTATCAGTTATTTTTTTTCAAACTATTACAAAATAAATATTAAATTTAACCAAGTTATTATGAATTAAATGTTAAATTTATTAAATTATTATAAAATAATCTATAATTATAAAAACTATTATTTTGAGATCACTTTTGATATATATATTTCATAATATATAAAAAATTACTAACCATAAAGATTAAATCAACATAATTAAGTGTTTATATTTTATTCTTTTTTAAAAAAGTCAGATCTTAGATATTTTGTGAAGTGTTGGCAGCGGAGGGTCCGTTTGATTTACGGAATGTAAGATTAATAGTGGGAATAAAAGATTACCATGGAATAAGATTACTGTGAATGTTGTATTTTGTGTTTGGTTGGTTTAACATGAATGTAAGATTACCGTGTTTGATTAAAAGAATAAAAGATTATTAAAATGTATATTTGACTAAATTGTCTTTATTATATATTTGTATAATATTACAAATTGTAAAATATTCATATATTTTCTTTAAAAAAATTAAATTCATAATATTTATATATAATTTTTTTATAAAATTAAAAATATAAAAAAAGGTTTAATGAAAGGGTAAATTTTTTTTAACCCCTGAACTTCATATAAAATTTAAATTATAGATTTTTTTTGTAAATCTAAAATAATTTAAGGATAAATTTTTAATTTAACCTTCGTAGAATTTTTATTATTTAATGACAGAAGAATTATATTTTTGAAAAAAAAAAAATTTAAGGGCATTTTAGTCCAAAACACCGGTAATGTTACAATATCTAAAGGAATGGAGGTAATGACATTCCCGGTAATATACCCAAAAAATTCTATTATTGGTAATAAAATATTACCAAGAATGAGATTCTAAACCAACCAAACATAAAAATATTAGATTCTCATCACATAAAAATTCCAAAATCTTTAAACCAAATACCCCTAAGGGGGTGTTTGGTTCAAGGAATGTGGGATTCCCATCCCTGGTTGGCCGGGAATCTCATTCCCGGTAATGTTTTATTACCAATAGTAGATTTTTTGGGGTATATTACCGGGAATGTCATTACCTCCCTTCCCTTAGGTATTGTAACATTACCGGCATTTTGGACTAAAATGCCCTTAAATTTTTATTTTTTTTCAAAAATATCATTCTTCTGTCATTGAATAATAAAAATTCTACGAAGGTTAAATTACAAATTTATCCTTCAATTATTTTAGATTTACAAAAAAAAATCTATAATTAAAATTTTATATGAAGTTTAGGGGTTAAAAAAATTTTACATTTTCATTAAAACTTTTTTATATTTTTAATTTTGTAAAAATATTATAATATATGAATTTAATTTTTTAAAGAAAATATATAAATATTTTACAATTTGTAATATTATACAAATATATAATAAGGACAATTTGGTCAAATATACATTCCAATAATCTTTTATTCCTTTTAACCAAACACGGTAATCTTACATTCCTGCTAAACCAACCAAACACAAAATACAATATTCCCAGTAATCCTATTCCTTGGTAATCTTTTATTCCCACTGGTAATCTTACATTCCGTGAACCAAACGCACCCTAAGAGTTTAATCCGTACATAGAGGAGCAGCTGAATGAATCCAACAACTTTTGCCGACACGCAACTCCAAGGCACTGGTCCCCAACAATCCCAAAGATAATAATCACCTGCGCTCATTCTCCCCAACCCCCACCATCACCTGCCGTTGGATCTTCGAGGCTCAATCTGATTAGATTCCATGATAATTTTTTCGCAACATTTTGACAAAACCAATAAACGTTAGCCACGTCAGCAAATACAAAACCCAGGGCAAATTCGTAATAAAACGAGAATATAAAGGGTAAAAACAAATGGACCAAAATTACGTTGGGTAAACTATACGTTTAGTACCTATATTATTATTTTTATTCCGTCTGAGCACCCATACTTCATTTTCTTACAATCATATCTAATATTTAGTTTTAGGTTTTAATTTAGTACTCATCGTTAAAAAAATTAATAGAATTATTGATGTTTTATTATTTTCAATGGTGAAATAACATTACCTTATGGTGATATGTCAATATCACTGTTAAATTTTTAACGGACAGTACCAAAATAAAACTTAAACTAAATATTATATATGATTTTGATATAAATAGTATGAGTACCAAAAATAGAACAAAAGTAATAATATAAGTACTAAACATATAGTTTACTCAATCATGTTTTGTTTGTATCTTGGTTGTGGGCTATATGTCTCAGCGGACGCCAAACAAAATTCAAATTCAGCAGAATCTTTCTTTTTTCTCTTTAAGCCAAATTTTAAACTCTGTTTATTTTTTTTCTCAATGACGGAAGAACAGAGCGCCTGAGAGAAAACTTTGTGTTTTTTTTCCCTTTCATTTTCTCTCCCTCCAATCATGTTTTTTTCTCTTTCTATTTAACACACTACTATTAATTTGTAAAAAAAACCCCATTTTTGTTTAATATATGTATATTTTTCTAGTTTCCCGGCGAGAGAAAAGGAAGTAGAAGTGTACAAGGAAGAAATATCTCTGCTTCTACGAAACTCTCTCTGTTTCTCTTTCAGTTTTTGTTTTACCCGTCTCTGTATATATAATTTTGGTTCATCAAAGGAAAAAACTTTATTTGGAATCAGGCCAATCAAGTTTACTTCTTCAATGCACTTTCTTTAACTACTTTCTTTTATATTCCATTTTCTTGTGGAAAGGTAAATTTTTTCTTCTTTATTTTTAGGTGGATAATTTTTTGTTTATTTTTTTCTAGTGTTTGATCAAATATCTGAGAAACAAAGTATGGTGTGATGTTGAGACAAATGTTTCTGGGAAGTGCCCAAAAGTGCTGATTTTGATTCTCAGCCTATAATTCTTTTGACTTTGTTAATAAGTGAAGCTCTTGTTGGCTGTTAGGTTTGATGATTTTTTTTATCTTTTGGTTAAGTGCTGTTTCTATTCATTTTGATTCACATAATTTCATGTTTTGGGCGTTGACTTATTTGCTGCAATGATGTACTGTTGTTAATTGATCATGATTATCAACTCTTTAGAGATTAAACTGTAAATAACTTTTGAATTTTCTATTTGATCTTTGACACTTTGCTTGCTTTATTTGGACTTATCTTTATCTGTAAAGAGTCATTGCATGATTGACTACACCAAAGTGAATTCCTGTAACCATTGTTTACTAAAAGAAAAGCTGTGTGATCAATAACTCATTGGAAATGTTTTAGTTTAAGGGTAGGGATTTGATTATGAAAATGGAACCAAAAGTTTCATTTGATTTGACTGCTAGTTTACTTGAATTGCTCAGGAACTGTTGTATGTATTGGAATTCAATATGAAAATTTAGTGTGCTTTGCAATATGCTATTCTATTCTAAGGCTTCAGATAATCTTTGTTATATGTGATGAATTAGTCTGCAATATCATTTTTTGATAGTTAATTTTTGGAATTCTTTGCATGCAGAAAGTGTTAAATGGAACAAAGGGCAAACGGTTGGATATCAAGTCAACCTGAAGGTATGACTTCTTTAATCACTGATTAAATATGGTGTACACATGCATGTGATCTTATTCACGGTGTTTATCTAGTCTTACCTTGTATTGATTTTTGAATTCTTGTATTATAGGATTAGGACCATCCGAAACTCCTTCAGTCAACATTTCTCGAGTGTGGGAAACTGGTGCATGGGGAATCCCACGTAAAACTGAGACATATCATTCATCAAGTGATGCAAGCTTATTTTCTAGCTCATTACCCGTCCTCCATGAAAAATGTACGTTGTATGTACTGATATAAAAATGTTGCATATGCTATATTGTGATGTACTTAGAATAGAACTGACGTATTCTTTTGCTAAAATGCAGTGAACTTTGCTGATGCGGAGCATTCTGGTCATTCTGTTGATGATAACTCGCCGGATTTGCTCAAGCTAAAACTTGAGAATAATGGAAAGGACCCACTCGAAGATGTCGAAACAAATGCACTTGGAAGTTTACTTCCTGGTGATGAAGATGACCTCCTTGCTGGCATAATGGATGACTTCGACTTAAGTGAGTTGCCTAGTCAGTTGGAGGACTTGGAAGAGTATGATGTCTTTGGTATCGGAGGGGGAATGGAATTGGACTTTGAACCTCAAGAGAGCCTTAGTATTGGGATGTCGAAGATGAACTTATCTGAAGGGGTTCTTGCAAATGGGATTGGTAATTACCCTCTTCCAAATGGTGTGGGAACGGTGGCTGGGGAACATCCCTATGGTGAGCACCCTTCAAGAACATTGTTTGTACGAAATATCAATAGTAATGTTGAAGACTCTGAATTGAGATCTCTCTTTGAGGTATTGTAATAGATCTCTTTGCCGATGAAGGTTTTATTCATTTTCCCCCCTTCATTTATGTGCAAATAAGAGTTTTCATCCTGTTAATACTAGGCTACTGATTTTCATCTTGCAGCAATATGGAGATATCAGAACTTTGTACACTGCATGCAAGCATAGGGGTTTTGTAATGATTTCATATTATGATATTCGAGCTGCGCGTACTGCAATGCGTGCATTACAAAATAAGCCGCTAAGGCGAAGAAAACTGGACATTCACTTCTCAATTCCCAAGGTTTGGACTAGGTGTATTTTGTAAGATGTTTGAGTTTGACACTGTTTATCCCGCCAACAAATTTAGTATTCTCTTGTATTGTTTTAGGATAACCCATCTGAGAAAGATATAAACCAAGGAACTCTTGTAGTATTCAACTTGGATCCATCTGTGTCAAATGACGACCTACGCCAAATATTTGGGGCTTATGGAGAGGTCAAAGAGGTATATTTTTTTTCCTAATTTGTTCCTCTACCACTTCCACCATTCTGACATGTCTTTGTGACATGCTGATGAGTTGTTTGGTTGCGAGAATGCAGATCAGGGAAACTCCACATAAGCGACACCATAAATTCATAGAATTTTATGATGTTAGAGCTGCAGAGGCAGCTCTTAAAGTATTGAACAGGAGTGACATAGCTGGGAAACGCATAAAGCTTGAACCTAGTCGTCCTGGTGGGGCTCGTCGAAAGTAAGTGTTAATCATAACTTCTTTATATCATCTGACATCCAGTAAATGTTTCTGTAAGACGATCTTTAGCAGGATCTGATTTCTGAAGCACTTAATATGAGCTGTTAATGCGCTTATGATGTGGGAGAGAAATTAATTGCACTTTCCTCATGGTTGCTAGGTGTATTTTTACACTGGCATAAAGAAATTAAATTTAATGTCCTTTCTTTGTTAGCTTGATGCAGCAGCTAACTCAGGAGCTGGAACATGATGAATCCCGAAGTTTTAGACATCACATAGGTTCTCCTATTGCTAACTCTCCTCCAGGTAAATATCTTAGGCGCTCTGCATTTGTGCACTCAACAACTTTACGCTTCATATAACCAGTTTTTCTGTAATTATTGTGAGTAATGTATTGCTGTGACAGGTAACTGGGCACACTTTGGCAGCCCTGTTGAACAAAATCCTTTTCATGCTTTTAGTAAGTCTCCCGGTTTGGGATCTTTTAGTCCTGTAAGTAACAATAATTTGCCTGGACTGGCTTCAATTCTCCCTCCTCATGTGCCTAACTCTCCAAGGATTGCACCTATTGGTAAGGATCAAGGAAAGTCCAATAATACAAACCCAATTTTTACTAATACCGGAGCAGTGCAAGGTGTATCCTACCAGCATTCTAGATCCTTCTCTGAGCAAAAGATAAGTGCAAGCCCTGGACCAATATCTGCCTTCAGTGAATCTAATTCAAGTTCATCTGGTATTGGAACATTGACCGGTCCTCAGTTTCTGTGGGGAAGTCCCCCTCCTTACTCTGACTGTGCTAGTTCTGCATGGCCAACACCACCAGTGACACACCCTTTTTCACCAAGTGGACAAGGTTTTCCATATACAAGTCGACATAGCTCTTTTCTTGGTTCAAGCAACCACCACCATGTGGGATCTGCTCCTTCTGGTGTGCATCTTGATAGACACTTCAATTATCTCTCCGAGTCACCTGAAACATCTTTTATGTACCCTGTTCCTTTTGCTGGTGTGGGTTTAAATCGTAGCAACGGAAGCTTTTTGATGAATGTTGGTGCCCGTGGAATTATCGGTGCTGGTGTTGGCCACCTAGGAAATGTAACTGAAAATGGTTCACCTAGTTTCAGAATGATGTCGATGCCAAGGCACGGTGCTATTTTCCTTGGAAATGGTTCTTATCCTGGACAAGGTACAACTGGCATTGAAGGGTTTGCTGACCGCAATCGAACTCGGCTAGTTGAAAATAATGGAAACCAGATTGATAACAAGAAGCAGTATCAGCTTGATTTGGATAAAATAATAAATGGAGAAGATACAAGGACCACTTTGATGATTAAAAATATCCCCAACAAGTAAGACAAATTAATGAATGGTGAAGAACTTAATGCTTTGGGTTCCTAGTAAAATGCTGTTTTTTCTTGATGGTTTCTGCTTTATTCTATTTCTTTAGGTATACTTCAAAGATGTTGCTTGCTGCCATTGATGAAAATCACCGGGGCACTTACGATTTTCTTTATTTGCCAATTGATTTCAAGGTACTTTCACTTGGGTTGTTGGAATGTTGTATGGTTAAGCCAAGTTGAATTATTGGTGGTTATCAATTGACTTTTCTGATTGCAGAACAAGTGCAATGTAGGTTATGCCTTCATCAATATGATCTCCCCTTCACATATTGTGTCCTTCTACCAGGTTCGATTCAACCTTTGGTCCTTTGTTAACTGTGAGTTGCACATATTATCAATCAATAAATAGTATTTTTTAACATCAGAATAAATGTGTATGTGTGTGTATTTATCGAAATTCGTTAATTTATATTAAATGGTACTATGAGCTATTTTCTGGTTGTAAGAGGATTATATACTGGAACTTATCCATATAAGTCAAATATGAGTTTTATGCTTCTGTGAATGTATCTTGGTAGAAGAGTTAATTATATGGAAAAATTTGGCAGACTTTTAATGGAAAGAAATGGGAGAAGTTCAACAGTGAGAAGGTGGCATCATTGGCCTATGCACGAATCCAGGGCAAGACTGCCCTTGTGGCACATTTCCAGAATTCAAGCTTAATGAACGAAGACAAGAGATGCCAACCAATCCTGTTCCATTCAGAGAGCCAAGAGACTGGTGATCAGGTAGTCAAAGTTTATAATACGAAATTTACTCGCATTTATCCTTGTTTAACTCTAAAATCCAATGCCAACAATAGATTAATATATACCAACCCTAGTATTTGATTAATGCAGACTAATTCATTCAGATGGTGTCATTTCAGTAGAGACAGAACAAATAAGAACCGTTTTCATTTCAGTAGAGACAGAACAAATAAGAACCATTTGTTACTTACTAGTTTGTGATGGTGCAGGAACACTTCCTCTCTAGCAATTTGAACATCTGTATTTGTCAACCAGATGGTTCTTATTCTGGGGATTCATTGGAGAGCCCAAAGGGCCTTCTGGATGAGAAGCCAGAGATCAGTTGACAAATAATTTGGAAATCTTACCTTTAGCCTTAAAAAAGGGAGGGGCTAAGGATGCTAACAAGTTGATAAGTGTCTTTTTCTAAGCGTATAAAGTTGGAAGACATATTAAAACAGAAATGTACGTTAAAGCTTGTGACATGTGCAGTGTTTGCTCTTCAGGTATGAGCCTTCCATGGTAATTCACTAGAGAAGTAAAAGATTAAACGAGGAAGAAGGATTTTTTTTAATTGTATGTAGAGCAAGAAATTGTTATTGAACTAGGGGTCGAAAAATAAGGCGAAAACATGTTGCTGAGAGTTGGGAGTCTGTTTGCAAACTGTATATTGTGCTCAACCTGTGGCTGGATGTCCTCCGGGTTCTATGTTTTTAGTCATTCACGTAGACGTTGAAGCATGGTTACTTTGTATGTAAATCAGTTGGGGAACCCCAAATGCCAAGGGTACAGGGCTGTTCATATAGGAATGTAATGAACTTTGTTCTTGTCAATATTTATGTATGTACAGATATTTGAAATACCCTGTCATCTGTTCTTATCTCATGCCACAATGGGACAAGAACATGTTTTCATTTACATAAAATTAATGAAACATAATGTGCAACAGTATTGAAATTTATTTCCTCACCTCATACTAGATGCGTAAATCAATAGAGATATCTAAATCAGTCATTTTCAGCACTTTTTATTGAAATGATAGGAGCTTGTCGGAGAGAACAAAGTTCATATGAAGATTCTTGGAAATTTGATTAAATTTGTAGAGCATCAGCAATTGATCCAGCAAGACTCAGAATTTCAAAAGGAGCTCTATTTTCGATGGATTTCACGGTGTTGGGACAAGAATCTGTAATCCAAAAGTAGGCAAATCCCTTATCTGTTCCTTCTGCAATATGGGAATCAAATGCCAATCAATCAATACCTACAAAAATTGAATCAGAGACATGAGAAGGGTACGGGCAAGTATACTTACCGTCACTCATTCGTGTAAACGGCTCCCAGGAATGCTTCGGGAAAACAACATGAGTGACGTACGCGCTCACCTTTGCCGCTCCATGAGCGAACAGAACTTTCTGGAAGAAGAACCAATTTACATGAACCAACAAATCAAGCATATTATTTCAAGTCCAAAGCCAGAAGAATGCCGATAAATGAAACGTCCATTGTAAGATAAATATTCTCGAGATATATGTACATGATCATGTTATGTCTGAATATCGAGGCGACACACGAAATAACGGGAAAATGTGTATGAAGAGGTTATTAGACTACAAGTACCTTGCAATGAGGGTGCCTCCAGATTGCACTAAGTCATCGACGATCACATGACAATCGGCAGGATTTCCCTCCTTGAGTCGAACTATCCTCTTGTCGCCCTCACGAACCTTTGTGCAGATAACCTGCCAATCAATTACCATGTACTTTCAATCTACATATAATAAACAGGAACAAGAACAGAATACAATATAGCATAATAGGTAAGCTTCCAAACTGACCGTCAGAAAATGATCCAACAATTTGTGAAATAGTTTCCAAGCTCCATCATCCGGAAACGCAACAACTATCTGAAAAAGAGATTGAAGATAACAGACCATTCCTAAGAAATGTTAATGGCATTAAAAGTTAGGAAAAATCATGTACAAGGTGACACTGACAAGCGGCATGATGACAGAGAAAAATATATTTAGCGCTAAACAACATTTCGAGATGATATAAAGACCTTGTCTGCATCAGGAAGCTGATGAAGACGCTTCTTTAGAAGAGGAATCCCGGTCTCAAATAACGGCAACACATGGTCTCCGAAATAAAACATTTCCTATATTAATAGAAAAACTAACAAATAACGATCAAATCTCCTAATAAACCAAATTATTTGATATTCCTCAGGTGGGAGGAAGATTCACTTGGTGTAACTATAGAGAATCTTCAACTTGGGTCAGACTTGATAGATTTTTAATTTGTGGGAGCTTCATGAAATGTTTCCTGAATATGGTGCAGCGGTTATTACCCAAGTCCCTTTCTGATCATAATCCGATTTCGTTGGTGGAAAGTAGCTTAAACTGGGGTCCCAAACCTTTCAGATTTTTCGATTATCTTTTGGAGGAAAAAGGTTTTGAGGATATGGTTAATTCCTCATTGGCATATCAGTGTAATAAGAATAATAGAAGAGGTATTTTCAGCATTATGCAAGGAACTAAAAGGGCAATCAAAAATTGGTCAGACAACAAATATCATGGGGTCTCAGATTCTATTTCAGAGTTGGATAGTAAAATTACAGCTTTGGAAGATAAGGCCAGGGTGGTATTCTTTCTACTCAAGAATGGGGTCAGTTGTTGAGGTGTATAAAAGATATTTGGAGGCTGCATAGGATTTAAGAAAGTATTTGGTTTCAGAAATCAAGATCTAGATGGATCAAAGATGGGGATAGAAATACGAGATTCTTTTACCTTTGTGCTCTGAATAGGAATAAAATCAATGCCATTTCTAGCTTGAAGATCAATGGGAAGGTAATTTTGGATCCTCAAATGATTAAGTCCTATAATTCTAATTATTTCAGGACAACATATAATTCCAAATCAACTATGGAAGTGGAGGATTTATGTTTGGGTTTTTCAAAGTTGTTAGTGGATCAATCTTCACGACTTGAGGAGCAATTTTCAGAGATGGAAGTGTGGCAAGCTATTGCATCATCTGACAGTGCAAAAGCTCCTGGTCCAGACGGTTTCATAATGGGTTTCTTCAAGAAATGCTGACCCAGTTTAAAGGAGCACTTACTGAAATTCTTTTGAAATTTTCATGGTGGAATGGAATGGGAGCATGGGGTCAATCATGCTTTTATTACCCTAATTCTGAAGAAGTTAAATCCAGAGTGTTTAGATGATTTCAGACCAATCAGTCTTGTTGGTAGTTTATATAAAATTCTCTCCAAAGTCTTATCTAAGAGACTCAGTTGTTGTGTTAATGATATTATTATCCCTTCACATTTTGCTTTTATTTCGGGGAGGCAGTTGATGGATTGTTCTTTCCTTGTCAATGAAGGTATCGATTATTACAGAAAACAAGGGCTTTGGTGATAGATGGTGTTCGTGGATATCATAGTGTCTTTCTTCAGCTTCAATTTCGGTTCTTGTTAATGGGTCCCCCTCAGAAGAATTTTCGATGGCAAAAGGGCTTAGACAAGGATGCAATATTTCTCAGTTTTTGTTTAATATAGTAGGTGAGTTGTTTAATTTGATTTTGTCTAAAGCTGTTGATCTGGGTCTTTTTAATGGATTCGTTATCGGAAAGTCTGAAGATCCTTTTCGGTTATCTCATGTCCAGTTTGCCGATGATCTCATTATTTTCTGTCAAGCTTCCCTTAACCAGATCAAAAATGTCATAAGAGTTTTGAGGATATTTAGTCTGATGGAGGGGTCACATCTAAATCTTGCAAAGAGTAAAATTTTTAAGGTTAATGTTGATGAGTCCATCCTAAATGATTGGGCACTGGCTGTAGGCTGTTCAGTTGGTTCTTTTCCCACAGAGTATCTAGGCCTCCCTCTCAATGCTAAAAGGAATTCTGAAATCCTATGGAATCCGATCATTAAGAATTTTCACTCGAAACTTGCTGGGTGGAAATCTTCATGTCTTTCCTTGGCAGACAGGTAAGTACTTTTGAAGTCGGTCTTATCCTCCTTGCCTATTTTTTTCCTCTCAATTTTTAAAATTTCTAGCAAAATTGGCAAGAAATTAAACTCTTTGATGGCCAATTTTCTTTGGGGAGTTTCTGAGGAGGAGAAGCAGATTCATTGGGTGAAATGGAGTACAGTTTGTCGGCCTTTAAATCATAGTGGGCTTGGAGTTCTGGATTTGAATATTACCAATCGAGCTCTACTAGGAAAATGGGTGTGGAAGTTTGCCAATGAGAAGGGTTCGTTATGGAAAAAATGTTGTGCAGTAAACATAAGGTCAGTTGCAACTCCATGTCTATTTCAAAGGTTCTTTCTCCTCAGGCATCATGGATTTTGAGAGGTATTGCTAATAATTACCTGAAGAATGATTCAGAGGGAGAGTGCCTAAGATCGAATTCGAAGTTGCAAGTGGGAACTGGTAAGTCCATCTTTTTTTGGATGGATGTTTGGATTGATAACACACCTCTTAAAGATCTGTTTCCTAGAATTTTTGCTCTTCTCCCAATAAATGGGGTAAGATAGTTGAGTTCGGTAGTTTTGAGTCCAATGGTTGGGTGTGGAACATACAAACTAGGAGAAATTTGTGTGATTGGGAATTGGACAAATGGGTGGATTTTTTGCGGAAGTTGAATAGCGTAAATTTGACCGACTCAGTGGAAGATTTCCTATCTTGGTCTGCAAGTGGTGATGGATTGTTCTCGATTAAATCTTGCAGAAAGGCACTTAATGAGTCCCCTGGAAATAATTATTTGTGGAAGAAATGGGTGTGGTTGAGTCTAGATCCTCCGCGTGTTGAATCTTTCCTTTGGCAGTTATCTCATCAAAAAGTGGCAGTCAAAGTAGAGTTGGTTAAGAGGGGGTGCCCATTGGTGAAGATATTCTCTGTCCTCTTTGTAGGCATCATGAGGAAATAGTGCATCATCTTTTTATTTCATGTTCTGTCGCTTGGGAACTTTGGAATAATATTTTCAGCTTTAGGGATTTATCTGTAGTTTTGCCAAAGGATCATCCTTTTCTTCTTAGCTCTCGGTCCGAATTGAGGGTGCATTTGATGATTTGGAAGTTTATTCCGGGTGTTGTTTTTTGGTCCATTTGGAAAGCTAGGAACGCATTTGTTTTTGATAGAGCCTCTCTGGACAAGATATCTCTTTTCTTCATTGTTAGATTTAGGTTATCTAAGTGATTTCTAGCCAAGTGTCATAAAGTTCGTATCCAGGAGGATGTGTTGATTGGAGATCATTCCCTCGCAGATAGTGTCTATGTTCCTAAATCTAAGAGTTGCCTTGTGCTTTGCTGGCTACCCCCTCTACGGGATTTTCTTAAGATGAATGTTGATGGAGCCGTAAGGTTTGATGGGTTGGTCGGAGGTATAGGTGGTATTTTAAGAGATTGGAATTGTTCAACTCTAATGACTTTTTCGGAAAGTATTGGTCAAGGGTCACCTCCAGTTGCTGAATTAAAAGCTATTAAAAGAGGAATTGAAATATTTCTTTCTTTAGCTTGGGTTTCTGTTGGTAGGTTGATTGTTGAAAGTGATTGTAAGTCTACAGTGGAATGGATTCAGTCTCCTTCTTTGGCTCCTGTCTTCTTTAACTTTATAGTTAAGGAGATTTTGTCTCTTTTTTCTGATAAGGTGTCTTTAGTTAGGTGGATTCCAAGGGTTTGTAATTATTAGGCGGATAGTTTAGCAAATGAAGGGATTGGGTGAATGTAAGGTTTTGGTTTTAGGGTGTTTTATTCGTTTTTATAGCTTCTGATTACTGGTGTAATTGTTATGTCCTATGTAATGTTGTTATATTAATAAATTAAGGCACTCTTTTCCTCCTTTCGCTGGTTGGTTCTTTCTTTCTGGAGAGGAACCACTATGAGGGAGGTTTTTAATGAGGCCTCTTATTCCTATAAAAAAAAAACAACACTCTTTGTTTAGAACTATTAATATATATCTTGCTGAAATCGATTGAAGAGCATAATTTTTTATCATATGAGCTGGAACATTCTCAAACATCACTGATGATAAAGACAAAATCTAAATGCATATGCCTATTGTAGAATGCAATTAATGTCATACTACAACTGAGACGCTAGCAAGGTAGATACTGATGGTAATAATTATTTTTACACATGTCATCATAGTGTAATCATTGATTCAATGGAAATAGTGTTTGGAATCAGAATAGGAGAGTCAGGATCGAAACAACTGGAAATGATAAAAGGAGTTTGCACATATCATCATATTGACTCAGTTTCAATGAAGGACTTGAAAGTAAGAACCTAGATAGGTTAACATGTTCCTGGGACAAGGTCAAAACATGAAAATCAGTTGATTTTCCATATTGAACACAATGGCCAATTGATAAGTGTTGACTAACTTATGTGTAAGTTTAGAGCTGATTGACTGACGAAAGAATATGAAAAAAGTATCAAAAAACAAAGATAACCCCTGGATTCATATCCAAATAAAAGGCATAACTTTCCCCCTTCTTTCTCTCCCTTTTTAAGAAAACAAAAAATAAAAATGCTAATTATAAACTAGTTTATGAAATTAGCTGCCACTTATCCCAACATCCAATCTGATCATAATCTTAAAGATTCAAGCTTTCTATAAACATATTAAATGAAGAACAAAAAAGTAAAACACCTACCTCGAGAAATGCAAAAAAGGAATCTTAAGAACAGAAAGAAACACGAAACTTAGCATTCATAGGAGAAAAAAGAAAAGAAAAGAAAGATTTAGAAGAAGTGAGTAGACCTCCATTTGATAGATTGAAGGGTAAAGAGTTGGGAGTGAGCAACAACTTTACGAGCAAGCTCTTCACATTCCACGCAGTTGTAGACACCTGTTTTTATCCGGGTCTACAAAAATATTATATTTACCATTATTATATTATTATTATTCCTCTTATTTTTTTTATTTTATTTACAATTTACATTTTTTTGTTGCATGTCACTAAGCCCCAAACCAACCTAATACTCAGCCTACCCAAAGCCCAAATGGGAGCCAGAGCCCAGTTACATCCAATCCAAGACCCAAGCATAACCCAGATGCCAACCCACTGGAGCCCTACTTGTTTCAAACCCAGGATCCGGTCTGACCCAAACCCGACCTGTTTGTAACTTGATCAAATTAGGGTTTTTAAACCCTAATCAGCTCCAGCCGCCGCCAGTGACTATCCAACTTCCCTAGCCGCGCGTGGACTTCATCGTCCAGTACTCCTGCCGCGTGAGCCGCCGTCGTTGATCCCGAGCCGTCGTCGAGTGTCACACCGATCAATGTTATCATCAACAGTGACCGATTTCTGCCAAAAATCATATCAAGTAGTCAAAAAATATAAAAAATGACAAGAGATCCTGAGTAAAATCGGGTCTACAAATCTAGAGCACTCAAGCCCTATTTCCTCAAGCAGCAGCATTACATCAGTCACCAATCAAACATGAAAAATAAAAAGAAAGGAAAATGAGAAGAAAGGCGGACCATTTTTAGGGGAAAAAGAAAAAAAAGAAAGAAAAGACACAGATGAAAGAAAAAGAAAGAAACCGAGATAAGAAAAAAAAGCCCTCTATCCTATTTGAACCAAACACCAAAAGAAAAGAAAAAAGAGAGGAAAACAGGAACATACCTTAGTCGGAGGAACGTTAGGAAGCCGAGTGGTCGCTGGATTTCAAAACTTTCGAGAGGTATAATTTAGATATAGGGTTGATGAGTGTTTTTTAGGATAAACTAAAGTGAGATTTGGGTTAAGGGCGAATGGTTGTTTCGTTTGGGGTGTTCAGCTCTCTTCGGCTACCATACGCCGCCGTGAGAGCCGCCGTAGGAATTACCAGTGACTGGCGGTTTTCCCTTCTCTGTTGAGGATTGGAGAGAGTTTAAGGACTCTCTCTCTCCTCCTTCGATTTGAAACTGAGTAAATGAAGTGAAATGGGGAGAAATGCCTTGGTTTGAGGCTTATATTACTTAAGCAAAACGACATCGTTTTAGGTGAGGACCTTCTGCGTTTTTCAGTGTGTGGGATAATTACACGTTAGGTCCTCTATGCTTTGTAATCGCATATTTCAGTCATTAAATGAAGTTCTATTTTATTTCG